CAGGCCACGCTAACTGCTGATGACTTACTTTGACGTGGCGGGTGCAAGGCTCAAGAAGGCCAAGGAAATGATAAAGAGGACTGCCTGCCAAAGTGGGGACACTGATGAGAGGTCAAGAAAAGAACCAGAAGACCATGGGGTAAAATCTTACACAGGAAGAGATTGTTAAAAGATGGCCTTACTTTCTGGTACATGAAAGGAATAAGGATGGTTTAGAATGAAGTGAGTATTTTAGAAGATAGAAAAATCAATGCAGATAACCACTTAATAATGTTTGGCCTTCACTAGAAAATGAGGTTGCATTAACATATCAAACATAACTTTAGCGCTTGTATAAACAAACCATTTTTAACATGCTCCCAGCTTATCAGCATTTTCTTCCTCAAGTTGTACCTACAACATGTTAACATGGTGCTCTAGTGCCTGGCATGTCTACATACACTGCTGAGTTACTTTTTGATCATTACTTCACATGATTCATCCATAATGTGCTCTAAAAGTAAAAGCATTCAGCAAAGACTTTACACAAGTGTAAAGAAAAACCTGCAAGGAATTGGAGAAATAGTATTAAAAAAAAAAAGTCAAATTCTGCAAAGTGTTAGCACTGAGCAGAGGGGAAGGCCCCTTCTCCCCTCAACCATTTGGTACAGATCCAAATTAATGCTTACATGAAGACAATACCTAGTACAGAAGAATATTTAACACTGAGTTGCTGAAGTTGATGAGACTGCTCTAATGCTTTGAAATAAATGTTTTGCTACGCTGGCGTTCCTAGTTCTCATCTCGGGGAGCTAGATAATGTTGAACAAGCTACCTTTTTAAATTTAGTTTCAGTGAAAATTTGTCCTAGAGGACTGTAACACCCATTTGTCAAGGAAGCAACAGAATGGCTGGGTGAATGAAAAACATGCAGAATGTAGCAGAGAACTGTAATACCTACTTATTATAAATTCAGTTTTCATGGCATTCTGTTACACGTATATTTGCTTTTAATATTATTGTATAAAGTGCAGTGTTTTCTACAGTCTTTCATTAAAAGGAAATAAATTAACCCCACCAGAAGTTATGTCAATACACTAGGGAGGATAAAAAAAACAAAAGGGGGGGGGGATCAACACACTATTTCATTCATATGCTTGCAAAATACAAATTGTTTTGTCTTTGCTAAAACAGATTTGAGGGCCAAAGTGTAACGAAACAAGTGTACCAGCACAAGAAGGAAGCCAAATTCTGCACTGCCTTATTTCATTAATTCCGAATTACATTCTGCTGTTAATATTATCCCACTACGTCTAATCCAATTAAAACATACAAAAGATCATATTTTATGAAAATGCATTCATTCCTAAGAGGAACAAATTCTGCAGTCCTTGTCAAAATCCACAATCTTGTAAATCAAATCTGTATGAACTCCACTGATGTGCCTGCTTAAAAAACAACCGAACAAACAAAAAAAAACCAAAAAAGCCCCCCAAAAGGCCAGTTATACAACAGAAGCACTGTCCTATTCTGTTACTCCTATTCTAGCACTCTTCCCTGCAGTCTGGACTCAGGCTGTGAGTGGTTCGGAGTGACGAGGTTGGTGGATCTTTGTTCTGGTTTGATCTGATTCAGTCTCATGCAGTCTCTGTCCATTAACAGCAAATCCTGTGCATATCTTCAGTCCCTCACCAAGGCATGGCAGCATCGGATAGCCTAATTCTCTCACTGAATTTAAAGTTCTAAAAATTTAAAGATACTAATTTTAACTTTAAAGTTAAGATACTTTTATTTGTGTCAGATGAAAATCAAAAGTCACTAACTACAGGTCAGGTGGTGCCTAATTACTTGACTGTGTATGAGAGCCTTTATTTTAAGCAGTGAGCAATCCAATATATTCTGGGTGGACTTTTATTCATGAAGACCTTGCTGAACTGGGATCTCAGTTAGCAAAGTAGGGAAAATAAGTATTTCCTACTAAATAACCTGGGGAAGGGGTTTCTCTCCTCCAAATCATGGTAAAGTAGAGGTTCATTTGAACGAAAGATGATGAAATACTTTACAAAATTTTTACCTTTATGCAGTTACAGCAAAATGTTTTTCAGCAAAATAAATCACAAAACACACAAAAAAATCTCATATTTTGATGGAAATGTATGAAGCCAATGGGATACTAAGATCCTACTACAAAACATATTCCTTTTTAAGCGACAGTTACGTACATTCCTAA